TAATTGAAGATCACTTTTTCAATATCGCAATTATATGTTATTTATAAACTTATTAATAATGTGGTATGAGAACTTCATTCGCTTGATGGTTGGGAAACCAATCTTTGGCAATTAGTAAGGAGAACGTTTACTGTGTCAACTATAAATCCTTATACTTTGTGTTAAGCACTATAAATAAATAAATAAATAAATAAATATATATATATATACATGTTGATTGAGAACTAGTTATAATCTATTATAAGATATATTATAGGCAAAGGGTTATTTCGAAGACCACATTTAAAAAGTTCCATTATTTAGTTAATTAGTTAGTTAGGGAAACAATCACTTAATTTGAGAGTGAAATTTTGACCTGAACGAAAGTGAATTCTTTTCAATTTTCTTATTAAAACGTTAGGGGTCAATGATGCATTATAAATTCACTGCATAAAATTAATCCGAGTATATGAGGTGGTAACGCATTGTAAGAGGAATTTTTTTGAGAAAATATTAGAGTAGCTGAAAAATCATTTGAGTGTTCAAGTAATCACCAGTGATATTTCCTAGGATTAGTCTCTCAAACGGTTCACTGAATTAATCACTAAAGTAAACTGCCAATCGTAAAGAGAGGTCAGTATTACGTGGAGATGCCACCTCTGTTACGATAATAAGTTGTTTCTGTACCATCCCCGCCTATCGATTGATGTGTATCTTTTTGTTACACTGAATCGTGATATTCCATTAATCGCTTAGCGAACCTATGCAGCTAACTTTCTATCTACAATGTACCAAGAGCTCAAAGTATAGATAGATGCTAAATTGGCTTATTGTAACGTGTAAAGGTTTTAAGAAAACATGACCTAAAGAAGTTGGTTTTTGTTGAAATCGAAGTCACAATACGCAATGCTTATCAATACGATCTTTCTTCTAATAAATATTTCAACAGACCAACAGTTACCGCCTACACCTGCAGGCAATAGTGTTGATTGGCTTTGGTGGAACCTCCGAGAACTGAATGGAAGTTCATGGCAGGTGTTTTAAAAGCGCTTTTGTTGACTTAAAATGAACATTGATGCAAAGATTTTGAGAACAAATCAACTCATTAGCAATATTCTATTTTTTAAATCGGTGGCGAACTATAAAGAATGTGCAAACCAGCATTTCACCAATTGGTAGAATTGATTGTGACCACTTAAAATAATATATAACCAATACCAAGGAACAAATAGAGAGAAAAAACACTCATGAGATCTTTGTACCCATTCCACAAGCCCTTCTTCCATATTTCCACCGGAGACAGAAGTAGAAATTTCCACAGAGTCAAGTTTAGAGAACTAATCTTCGAATTTTGAAACCGCATCGTCTGAACAACTTACAATAAGTGAAAATGGTCCCAACCTGTAAACAACAACGTAAAAGATTCATTTCGTGCGACAACCAAGAGATCTAAAGGAGGACAGAGATGCAACGCCCTTAAAACGGGAAGTGCTTGTGATTGAAATTAAGTGTGTCGCGCCCATATAGAGTATATGAGAATCACTTCGACTGATCTACAGAATAAGATACCATTTTCGAGATTGCAGTTGATGGCCATAGTAACAATACAATGGATTCTCCTTCTGATTCATAGGTTTTGGCAAAGTGACCGTTTTGAAGGTGATTGGAAACAAATCAGTTTTGTTAAAGAAGAAGAGGAAGAAAAAGAATCTGGACTGAAACACATGCACCCTGAGAGTAGTAAAGATTAAAAAGACGCTAAAATAGGCGAATTCAAATCGCATTAACACATACCAATGGACGAATGCACTCTCAGCTTCTAGCAGCCATTCCCTCTCAAATGATTATCTCTTAGAATGCAAGATCTAGTAGTACAGTTAATACGAACGATCCCGATTTCTCACTGAAACGCGGGAGAAGCTGCCTTTTAAGACCTGAAAGAAAAACTCAATGATGGAGAGATTAACTCTTCGTTGACGGAATAATCACTTTCGAAATCAATTCTCAGTGAATGAATGAATGAATTGCACCACTTTTTCAAATTAATGCTGACATTTTAATATGCCATAATGAGGCTTGATTGGATTATGTTTAAATGTGGAATGTGTGATAGACTTACCTCCACGTGGTGCACACTGGGCAACGTACACTCATACGACAAAAAAGTCTATTAACCAGCAGTTGACTCCTGACTTCGAACTACCACGACCCCACTGTATGTCATAGTCGACCACTTCCATAGTACTCACCTCACTTCTTTTTCTACCTTTTCTACCTTCGTCTTTGAAACACTCTTCCGTTCCCCTCCCCTCTCGACTTGTTTTCACTTTGATGTTCCTTCCCCCCTGTGAAGCCTGAAGTCAACTAAAGGGCTAATGATAACCTTCAAAACGCCTGCTATTTGATATAAATGAGTTATGGTGCAATATCGCACTGCCAGTAAATGCGAGTTTGGCAATCTATCAAGTGAGTTTTGAAGGCTCGTTTTAATGAATAGAAATATAGGCGTTAGGAGCAATTATTCGAATGCAAATGCAGTGATATTTTTATCAGCAGCAATATCATAATCGGATTGGTTATGAGGTTAAAAGTTTGAGTCGTTTTTTTATTATGGAAAGTAAAAATTTGTCACAAGTTCAGGTTGCTGTAAGACAATAAAATGGGTTAATTATGAAGAAGCACGAAATTTTCGAAACTCTATAGGGATTAAATTGTTCTTATAGGAAAATTGACACCATCGAGCCAACTTACTCCTATTATTTAGAAATATGCGGTAATAACACGTGACTTAAACATTTCACATTCCATTTCACTTTTCATTTTATATTCAAATATTTGCATTATTTCACTTGGTCAGAAGTATTCAAGGTTTGCAGGTATGCTTATTTGGATTCCTTGGAATGAATGGATGCAGAAAAAATAAATATTCCCATCAATTCATTGGGACCGAAGACGGTAATCGTGAAATCCAACAAGATTTGGACATTCAATGCGTGTATGCATTTCCAAACATTTTTCAGACAAAGTAGGCAGAAATTTCGCCTTGTTTTGTGTTAGAACGATATAATTATCATATGAAGCTAAAGGAGATCTTCGTGAAGGTTCGAAACAAAGAAACCCATGGTAATAATTTAATATCTGTTTACAGAAATGTATTTATTTACTTATATCAAATGACAGGCATCTTGATGGTTATCATTAGCCCTTTAGTTGACTTCAGGTTTCACAGAGGGGAGGAGGAACATCAAATTGAAAAAAAGTCGAGATGGGGAGGGGAACAGAAGAGTGTTTCAAAGATGTAAGAGACAAACACAAAGGTAGAACAAAGGTGAGGTGAGTACTGTGGAAATAGTCAAATATGGCATAGAGTGAGGTGATGGTAGTTTGAAGTGAGAAATCAACTGCCAGCCAATAGACTTTTTTGCCGTATGAATATAAGTTGCCCAGGGTGCACCACGTGGAGGTAAGTCTATCACGCACCCCTCTTTCCGAATTGTTATGTACTATTTAAATTCTCAAAAGGAATTTCAAATAAGTTTCATTCGTTACACAATTTTGTTTCTATTTCGAAGTATATATGTATTAGCTTTTGTTGGAATATATTCGTGGATATCTAGATTTAAACTCCTCAATATTGGTTAATTCGTGGGGATGCGCTAAATTCCTCGTCTCTTCTCCAATTTCCGGATTGTCCGCAAATTCTTTTTGCTGCGCAGTAAATTCAAATTCTCCTTCCTAAAGTTAAAATTTCTTTATTTATTGTTTTTTATTTATGTGTCTGTTTGCTTTAGTTATTATTACCAATACTTCTAACTACTCTACCCTTGCAGGCTAGATAAATTATCACTCTATCCCTCTAATACATGTCAATTTTTGTTGACATTTAGCCATCATTTTGGACTTTTTTCACGCCTTTCACTTCACATCTTCGCCTAACTTTTATTCTCCTTTTAAAACATTGCAACTCCCTTTTTAATTAAAGAATGGAAGTCTGCAGAAGGTCCCAATGTTTGAAGACCTATCCCCGGAAATTTTCACGGCCAATGAATTCGGCAAGTTTGACCTTGGTGCTTCACAAACCAGCTTCTTTTTATTTGATTTTTTTTATCTCACGAATGTGATACTCTTTGCACTTTGCAACTTTATCTAAATACCATCTCTAACCCCTCTTCCAAAAGTAATTTAATCCGGTGAATTTTATTTAAAAAACGAGACTTTTGGGATTATATTCTGTCTCTTTTTGGCTTGTCTCTATCAAATGCACTTTTTTTTAATAAATATAAACTATTTTAAACTGCTCCTATACTTTCGCTTCAATAAATTGCTCAAAATCAGTTGTTTGCTAATCTAACTTAGGAGCATGCATTTGATCAGAAACATTATTCTTCTTAAACCCCTAATAATTTTCGTTTCTATATTTTATTCAAAATTCTGCCTAGAATATCTCTTGAGTATAAATTCTAAAATTGTTTCCTTTCACTATTTGCCTTTGCTTGAGATTTCTTCTATTAATGATTAAATTTATGAATCGTTAAAATATTGTAATTGTAAAAATGGAGAAATTTCGCATTTTTAATGGGCATGTTTGTAAACCAAAGGCAATTTTTACGATTGGTCAGTATTCATCAGAACACACCCATTGATTTAAACGGACAATGCCTCTTTTCTGCTAATGATATCTATTTTTTTATAGTCCTCTATTCTATTAAGTCCTTACACAAATAGTAAAGTTAATTACGCTCTTAAAATATGAGAAGTTCACCTTGTGGTTAGTAATTCCCACTCTCTGGGTTTGAACACTTTGGGAGTAATGAGGCTACTTCGTTTATGTATATTTTCACTAATCAGATTTAACTTCGCTTCCCTTTAACACTATAAGCTAATCGCTGACACATTATGATCTTCATTCAATACCCTTTCTGTTAATTAATTACTCTACTCCTATCTGATAACAACACGATGGTTATGCGTTTTGTTACTTTTACTAAGTAATTCCTTTTCGATCTTATTTCCAGACCAAAATGGCCAAACAAGGCATTGGCCGTCAGCCAAACGATCAATTCGGGGGAACACCACCTCAAAGCGTGAGTTATTTCCATGGCAAGATTACACGGGATCAAGCCGAGGCAACTCTGTTTGCTCACAAAGCTTTGGAGGGTCTTTTTCTCCTTAGGGAAAGTGTTAATCAAAATTATGCCATCTCAATTTGCCACGGTGGACGCGTGCACCATTACAACATCGAGAAACAACCGGATGGAACTTATCAGATCCGAACGGGTAAGTCACCAATCTCGTCTTTATTTATGTATGAATCTAGCGGAAAAATCAGTTGTATTCATTTATTTATTTATTTATATTAAATGTCAGGCTTTATGATAGTTATCAATAGCCCTTTAGGTGACTTCATGCTTCACAATGAGGGGAGGGGAGAGAAGGGAGAATATCGAAGTCACAAAATGTCGAGAAGAGGAACAGAAGAGGGAATTACAGATGTAAAAGAGGCAGACACAATGGTAGAGAAAAAAGTAAGGTGAATACTGTGGAGGTGGTCGAATATGACATACAGTGGGGTCATGGTAGTTTGAAGTCAGAAGTCAACTGCCAA